TGGAACTGGCGTTAGAGGAGGAGCTGGCGCTGCTGGCGGCCGGGGAGCGGCCGTGCGACCCCGGGGAGCAGCCTCCGACCGAACCGGGCTCGCCGGCCGAGGGGGCCGGGCCGCGGGCGCCACCCGCTCAGGACCCCGAGCTGCTGTCGGTGATCCGGCAGAAGGAAAAGGACCTGGTGCTGGCGGCCCGGCTGGGCAAGGCGCTGCTGGAGAGGAACCAGGACATGAGCCGGCAGTACGAGCATATGCACAAGGAGCTGACCGACAAGTTGGAGGTGAAGACCCTGTCTGGGAGGGGTGGGCGGCACGGGGAGCCGAGCCTGGCCCATGCTGGCTGGCAGAAAACAGGTGAAAGAGGGGATGGGGTGGGGGGCAGTGGATGGTCAGATTAGGGCCTCCATGGCACCCCCGACTGTCCCACCGCTGTGGGCCGTTCTATATCTGTACTATACAGAGTGTCTAAAATAGAGCTTACAGTATGACTAATTTATACAGCTCCCAGAACCAAGCAACCTGCTCACGGCGGCCCCGAAGCAGTTAATCTCTCATCAGGGCGGGAGAGCCGGAGAGATGTGCGGTGTGGGATTTGGGGCCTCCACATGCCCTTGTCTGAACTTGCTGGCAGCTCATAGTTGTGGGGAGCAGGTGCCCCTCGGGGAGCTTTAGATCGCCTTCAAATAACTCCAAGATTAGGAAATGTGGTTCCAGGGCAGAAAGCAGGCAATTCTACAGGCCGGGGCTTACCATGTGACCGCTAGTCGTGGATTTCCTTTAGGCCTGGCATCAGGCTCTACTTAACCCTGCTTCTTGCGTTCTGGGTCCCTGCCTGCAGTGGGATGATCAAATGCAAATGAGAACCGTATTGCATTCACTACGGCCATAACCCTCCCTTCGATTATCTGTAATTTTCCTGCTAATTCTTGGGGCATCCTGAGCTCTCGCTGTCTGTAATTCGAAAAAGGCCCTGAATTGCCAACATTTCTGAAAATGAAAGAGACTTGCACACATCCATGCTAGTGGTAGGACATCACTGGCAGTGGAGACACAAGTCTCCATTTGCACCTGTACAGAATAATACCCTGTCAGGTTGTGACCAGTTCTTTTCCGTCTTAGTTACAACAAGAGTACAGTAGCAGAAGGTAATAAAAGGTCTGAAATCGATCCTCATCTGGTTCTATCTCACTTCTTTTCTATCATACAGAAACTTTTCTGTAATAACACTTGAGTGTGTTTGTGTGTGTACTCCCACGGTCTGTCAAAAGTAAATCCAAGGGGGGAAAGAAAGCCGTGAGTGACCTGTAGTTCGTTCCCTTGGCCTGTTAACTAGGTCTGCCCATTGATGAACTCCTGAGATACAGCCTCTGAAAAGTAGTTTGTAAAACCAATGGGTAGACTGCCAAAAAGCAACCCGGTGAATTGAATTGTTTCGTTTTCACTTGAAGTAGAAAGAAAAGGGTGTCTTAAAAAAAATTTTTTTTTTAAGAGATTCAATTACACGACTTTACAAAGAAGTACTACTGGAGAGATTTATACTTGTGATTCCAAATTCTTTCAGTGAGGGACTTGATTGAAGAGACAGCGACTTGAAAGGGCCATCCTATCAGTCAGTTTGATGAGTGAGAGATTGCATAGTAATTCCGAGTGTGCAGTTACACACATCCTGGGTTCCATTTGGAACCTTTATACACTCCCTCCACAAAGGGGAAAAGATTTCAAAATTCCACCATAACAAGAAACGTTCTGTAGTAAAAGAATAAATTACCTTTGGCATTTGGTGATTGAGTTAGTAGAGAGTAACAAAATAGCTTAAAACTCTTAAACTTTAATTTTTTTAATCCTCTGCAGGTCAGTATACAAACTCTAGTGATTTAAACAAAATATGTATTTAACGGTCAAAAAACAGTCATTGTTTAAATAAACCATGATGCATGGGGCTTCAGTGATACTATGCCCTACAGGACATGTTTGCAAATTCTCATTAACTTTTTTAAATGTACATTTTAAAATATAAAGATATTGCTGCTGGCTGTTTATGAATTCTTTTAATGTTGCGATGGTTGTGACAAACCTGACTGACAGGATCTACTGCTTTTGATGAATATTTCTTGAACCATCCAGATTTCAGCATGTTGCCCAAAGTTTCAACTGCATATTTTGGAGTAGAGAACCAGTCCTTACTTTAAGAGGCATCTGTAATTTCCCACACAGTCAGCAGGGTCAAAGATGCTTTCCACAGGTCAATCTAAAACGTAAACATGGACATGGACTCGAACTGTGGGGTTAGATTCGTAAATCACGAGAAGCATCGTTTTCATTTTATCTGATTTTTTACTTTGTTTTGAAATTAGCACCTTTCTAACTTCAGGGTCGAAAAACATTTTCAAGATCTTTCCTACCTGTTCATCAGTTAATATTGAACACCTCCAGGTCCACATGTCAAATCCAAGATATTCTGTTTTGTCATTTAAAATGTAAAATAATTGACCCTATGCTACTCTCTCACTAAAGATATACTCTATGATAAAACTTGAATGTTGTACAGGATTCTGTTTTTTAATGTTTAGCTATACATCCCAAGTTAAAATGAGTTTATTTCAGGGTTAAAATGTTTATTTCATTTTAAAAGCTGGATGCGTTGGGCCATTTTTTATAACCTTTGATTTCACTATACTATTATCTGATTCATGGACTAAGCAGATTTTCATTTTATTAAATTTTTAAAGGCATTTTGGGGCGATATTTTCTTTCATGTCTATTTTAACTTTTTAAAGATTTTATTGCAGGCTCTTAAAGCTCTTATAACAATCCATACATCAATTGTATCAAGCATATTTGTACATATGTTGCCATCATTATTTTCTAAACATTTACTTTCTATTTGAGCCCTTGGTATCAGCTCCTCATTTTTCCCTCCCCACCTCCCACCCTCTTATTATTTTCATGTCTTACACCAACCGCTGCCTCCCTTCCCCCACAGTGTCTGTTGTGCCACACACACACACCCCAGGGGGGGGGACGGTAACTTTTAAAACTTACATTCAGCCAGGGTGTTCATTTATTCCTGTAATGTGTTAGATGGAAATTTGCATTTATATAATTTTTTCTTCAGGGCCCAATATTTCATTTTTATAGTTGTTTTTATTCTACAAGATCCCCATTTTTTCCCTTTGCAGCTATGAGTGAATTATCTCTTACCATAGCAGATCTTTTTTTTTTTAGCGAATCTTTAAAAATAAATAATTGTATTATATTTTCATCAGAAGTATCCAGAGTAGAGAGTCTCTTTCCTCACTTTTTTTTCTTCCCCTTTTTGTAAGCCAAGGAGCCCTGGAAATACAGTGGATTGAGCATTAAGCTCAACATTAAGACAACCCTAAGGAGCCCTTCTGTTCTTTTTTTTTTTTAATCATTTTATTGGGGGTTTGTACAATTCTTATCACAATCCATCCATCCATTGTGTCAAGCACATTTGTACATTTGTTGCCATTGTCATCTAGTCTGTCTTATAGGGCCCCTATGAGTGGAATCCACATAATGGCCATGGGCAGTGGTTCTCAACCAGTGGGTCATGACCCCTTTGGGGGTCAAATGACCCTTTCACAGGGGTCTCCCAATTCATCACAGTAGCGAAATGACAGTGATGAAATAGCAATGAAAATAATGTTCTGGTTGGGGGATCACCGCAACATGAGGAACTGTATGAAAGGGTCGCGGCGTTAAGAAGGTTGAGAACCACTGGCCATGGGTTTGGTTGGTTTGGTTCTTGGGCCAATTCTCATGATTCTAGTTACCCCACCCTATTTTTAAAGAGGGCCAAAAATCAGGATGAAAATGATTACCTAATGGGAGTCACTGGTGGATCTCGGGAAGCTAACCCTGGGTCCTGATTTGCATTCAATGCTTGGTCTGCTTCAATAACAGTACTTTTTGTCTTTATTTTTTCAACTACCATGTTGCTTTCTTGGTCCTTTGCAGAAAAACCTTTCTATATGTACTTATGTAGACTAATGATACTGACTTTTGTCTTTTGGAGTTTTAAATACTCTTTTTGTTTTGTTTTACAAAAATAACAGTTTTAGATTTACAGATAGAGGAGGGGAAAGGAATACCAGAAGTTTCCATATACCCCAACTCCATTTTTCCTGTTATTAACATCTTACATTGGTTAGAATGGCACATTTGCCACTGTTCGTAGATGAGCTAATATCACTGCATTATGATGAACTAAAACTTAACCAGTTGCTGGTGAGTCAACTCCAGATTCCTGGAAACCCCTTGTGTGCCAGGGTAGACGTGTGTCCTCCACAGGTAGAGTGTAGAGTTTTTCATCAGTAAGTTGCCAGATTTTCTTCCGCGGCATCTGTTCATACACTCTTATTGTCAACTACAGCCCTTCTTGTGTTCAGATTTCCTTAACTTTTACCTGCCTTTCTGTTCTAGGAACCTCGCCCACAATTCCAAATCACATTTAGTATTATTTGGTATAGGATAGAGTAGAACTGCCCTATAAGGTGTCCCTTAGTTTTCATGTTTCTGAGGTTCCTCTTGACCATGAGTTTCTTAGAAGTTGCTTGTTTTCAAAGACCTCGCTCATTTTGATATTAGAAGGCCACAGTACATAAAGTGAAGGAAAGCCTGGGCAGAGACTGGCGGGCCACGCTTTCTGGCATTCTGCCTCGAGTTTGCTGGATAATTGAACATATTAGTTGAACATACAACTGTAGGAGAGACCTTTCTTTCCCCAGAATAGACAAAAGGCCAAATTCTGTATTTCTGTTTAACAGGAAGGTCTAGTTTTTTGTTTGTTTTCCCCCAAAACGGTTGGGAAGCCTGAAATAGGAAGTTTGTCTCCTGTCCAAAGAACTGTAGGGACAGAATAGACTGATCGGCACCACCTGTCCCCCTCACACACTGCTCCCCCTAAATGTGTTGGATTGTTTTAGTTGCTTGGTTGGGCTGTTCCCTACCAGCTGTTGGCGGAATAGTTTGAAGTCTCTCTGTTCTTTTAGAACACAAGCCTAATTTATCTGGCCTCTCAGTAACACTGTGATCACCCAGCTTTTGCTGTCGCCTTCTGCTCAGTCTTTTTTTCATTCTGGGGAAACTCAATAAAACCAGAGGGTCATAATTTTAGGATAACAATTAGCATTTATTTCTGCAGCCCATCTTCCAGAGTATCTGCAGTCGCTAGCTTGTCCTCATCTGGGAGGCTCAGCAGGGTGAAGGAAGCAGGGAGCAGAAGATCCTCCACTGAGGCTTAGCAGCCCCTCCTCGGCCTCCTCACTTTCCGACATGCTCAACACTGAGGCTGTAAAATGTATTACCTCGAAAGTAATGTGCCTTTTCACCAGCTATACTACAGGGATTATAACCAAATGATTTAGCCTCTGGAAAGTGGTCTGTTTGGGAGGCTGCGCATTTTTTTTCATTAGCCTTTGCTAATATGCTCAGGTTTCACTTGGGGTCTGCTTTTCAATCTCTGGGCACATTTCTTTCAACTGTGCTCCATCATAGTAAATTCTGATCATTTGGATTACACTTGGTGTGCTTGTGTATTTGATTTTTTTTATCGTGAATTAGGTGAAGGTTTGCAAAGCAGATCAGAGCTTCACATTCAGCAATTCATACACATTGTTTTACCTCATCCACTGCAACCCCCACAAGGTGCTATCACCGATCCCACTGCCTTCCTGTGTTTCCTGTTTTCCATTCCTCCTCCTTTCCTAACCCTCTGAACTCGGTCCTCAGGTAAATGATGCCCTTTTGTTTGTAAATGGTTCATTATTCTAAAATGGGGTGAGTTCAATCTAGACCTGAAGGATGACAAAGGGCCATAGTCTTGGTGGGGGAGGGGGTCCCACCAGCAACCTTGAATCTTTTATAATTTGGGGTTTTCCACGTTTTCCTCCCACTTTATCCAGAACCTTCAAATGTAGTCTCTTTCAGAGCCATTGGTAGTGGTAGCTGGGCACCATCTAGTTCTTCTGGTTTCAGGATTGTTGAGCCTGATGTTTACATGGCTTATTAGTCTATTGTACTAATTGTTTCCATATATCTTTTCAATTTCATTAGTCTTCTGTGCTTCCATATGTCTTTGAGTTTTCATTAATCTTCTTTGCTCTGCTTGGGAGAGACCCATGTTTGCACCTTACATGGCTGTTCGCAACCTTTTAAGAGGGGCACATTTGACTGTGAAACATCGTCAAGCTGTGCAGACCCAGCGTCTGTTCATCTCATGAACTGGTTCAGTTTTTGTTTTGTTTTAAAATTTTTTTGAACTGGTTCAGTTTTATCACAATCTTTAACAGTGCATTATATTCTACTGTATGCATGTACCAATGTTTGTTTACCCATTCTTCCACCCAGGGGTGTTCAGGTTATTTCTTCTTGCTTTTATGAATAATACTGTGGAAAACATGGTGTGCCTATATCTGTTCATGCTGTGTTCTTTATTTCTATAGGGTATATACCAGGCAGTGTCATTGCTGGATCGTAGGTACTTCTATCCTAATTGTTTAAGGAAGCACCACATCCCTTTCCACAGAGGTTGTACTGACTTACAGTCCCACCAGCTGTGGGATTTCAGTCTCTGTTTTCTGCTCTTTTGGAACTTTCTTATCAATGCTGGGTTGAGGTGGTATCTCACTGTTGTTTTGCTCTGTGGTTCTCAAATGGCTAGTGATTGCTTACGTTTCTTCTGAGGTTTGTTGGTCACCCGAATGTCCTCTTTGGTGAATGGTCTGTGTATGGACACTGCATATTTAAAAAATGGAACCCAGTTGCTTTTGATTCCATTTTTCTACAAAATGTTAAAGCCCCTTTGCACTTTCATCAGTGTCTACCACTAGAATGAAAGCTTTATGAAGACAGTGACCTTGTCTGTTTGGTCCCCAGGAATAGTACCCTGCCCGTAAACACACGCAAGAACAAGTGAATGGATCAGAAATAAAACGATAAAACTTAATGGGTCATGATTTAAAGTAGCTCTGAGCCTAAGCTTATTAAATGGTTTCGAAATACAGTGCTCCACCGAGTTCTAAGCTAGAGCACTAAACGAAGGCCAGGAACTTAGTTACAAATCTCAACGCTGCCATTTGCAAGTATTAACCTTGAACTGAATCTCCCATCATCTCTCTGTTGCCTCATTTGTAAGAAGATATGGTTCGTCTGAAGGATCACTGAAGTTCTTTCCAGCTCTGAAAACCCCAGGGTTCTAAGTGCCTGGTACTCTGCCAGCAGGAAGATGGCTCCAAAGGAAAATGCAGAAAATCAAACCCACTGCCACTTGAGTCAGTTCTGAGTCACAGAAACCCTGTGGGACAGAGTAAACCTGTACTTGTGGGTTTCTGACACTGACAATCTTTCCAGAAGTAGAAGGCCTAATTTTTCTCCCTAGTCACGGCTGGCGTTTAAACAGCCAACCTTGCAGTTAGCAGTCCCACATCATCCACTACACCACCAGGGTTCCTTCACCAAAAGAAACCGCCTTAAAATAATGAACTTTTTGGTTATGGGACATATTTTCAGCTGTTTAAATATACAACTCATCCACTGATCAGAGGACTGGCTAAATTTCAAGTGAATGCCTAAGTCTAGAACTGCGTACCCAGTACAGTATAGACATAAACACACCATCATTAAGTCTTTTCAGTGGGGATGGTATCTGCCCAAGAAACACATTCTTCCCTACTTCAGATGAAGGAAATTTGGAGCAGGGGTGGGGGTGGGGGGGTTGGGACCAAAACTAACATAGTTTGGGTGAAAGCTTACAGAGAAAATTGACTTTCCTGTCTAAAGGGAAGAGTTTTAGAATGTTGCATTGGGCAACTTCCGTCTGTCCTGTGTGGTAGATTGTCCTACATGGCTGGTTGACCGAGGAAAAGACAAGTTAGAAGTGTACGGAAAGAAAGGCTGTAGAACTTTTGCCAACTTAAAAAAAAAAATTGTGTTTCTCCTCCCCCATCCAGCACTTAGAACAAGAAAAACACGAACTGAGACGACGGCTTGAGAACCGAGAAGGAGAGTGGGAAGGACGCGTGTCCGAGCTGGAGAGCGATGTGAAGCAGCTCCAGGACGAGCTGGAGAGGCAGCAAGTCCACCTGCGGGAAGCAGATCGGGAAAAAACCCGGGCGGTGCAAGAGCTGTCCGAACAGAACCAAAGGTTACTGGATCAGCTCAGCAGGGTGAGTCACGAGTTAAGAACTTAGAAGGGAAATTTCTGAGAGTTGAAACTGCTCCTGTGCTAAATGCCAGTCAGGCAGGCAGTAGCAGCAGTTCTGATTTTGGTTGCCTTTGGACGTGCTATTACAAGCTCAGGATCTTCTAAGAGGAAGACTTTGGGCTGTGCTGAACTAGAAGTCTGGAGCGAAGACCTGTCCTTGTCATTCACTAGCTATGAGACTTGGACAAATCATGTCTGTTTGGCGTTTTCTCATTTGATGTTGCATTTGTGAATGTACATTCATTAATGTTATTTAAGGGTGAGAGGAGAGATGTGTGTCTCTGTACCATAGAAATGCTTTTGCTTTGGTATGGTTTTTAATTTCGCCATTAAGAATTCCTACTTATGCCAGTATAGATTGGTTTCACGAAAGTATTAATTAACCAAGGTCAAAAATGTAAAATCATGGCAGAGGAGGAGGTTGAGAGCCAAATTGGTGGAAATTTAATCAAAGTGCACAACATGTTTTTGTTTTTGTTTTTGCAACATGCCTTTTTAACAAATGCAGGAATGTTGTTAATAACCATGGTCTCTAAAGCAACCATTGGAAATGAAAAGCTAGACTTACCCTTGCACCTCAAGCCTTCCCATGTGCTAAAAATAGAACTGCTAACTATGTGGTTACCAGAGAAAAAGAACTCCCACTCAGATCTCATCCCTAAGAGCTGATGTTCTCAGGAGAGTACAGCCTTGTCCACAAGGGCATGCTTAAGGTGTAGGTCTTTGGGGAAGTTGAGCTAGAGCAGCCAAGGGCTAACCTCGGGGCTCTTCCACTCATTTGATGGGTACCCTAGTATGAAGTTTGTGCCACAGTGAGTTTCCTTTGGGTACTCTGAGACTGGTGACAACCTGCATGCCCCTCGAGTAGGTGTGACGGGAATGTTGACCTTGGGAGAAGGGAGAGAGGAAACAATACTCTGAGTCTTGGAAAATAGCCAGTTGCTGGGAAATATCAAAACATACAAGGGGGCTTCAGAAAGTTCATGGGAAATAAGCCATTATCTTTTCATTAGATTTTTCCACACACTTTTTGAAACCCCCTCATATGTGAAAGGTGAGAATTCCAGTCGCTGGGGGAGCTAAAGAACTTATTTACAAGATTCTCATCAAGGTGCTCAGAGCACCAGAGCCTCTTTGGGAAACAAGAGTTGGACGATTTTCGAAGAAGTCATGTCATGAGGTCAACTCAGTAGCCGCCATTCAGACTCAGTTCAAACCCTTTGTCAGCAACGGAGATGGAAATGTCTGTCCTTGGAAGCTTTGTTTTCTTTTTTTTAGGTTGTTGAGCCTTGTTGGGTTTTTTTAATCATTTTATTGGGAGCTTTTACAGGTATCATAACAATCCATAGTTCAATCACATCAAGCAGTATTGTACAACTGCTACCACAATCAGTTTCAATACATTTTCTTTCTTCTTGAACTCCTTGATATCAGCCCCCCCCTTATCCCCTCCCTCCCCACCCCACCCCCCAGGAACACTTATTGTTTTTTCCCCTATAATAGTTTTGTTTTCTTTGCCATGTCTTACACAATCAATATATCCATTCCCATACAATTCTGTTGTTCAAACCCATCTAGTGGGGTTATACGGTCATCAGTGCTGTCAGACCCCTATTCCCCTCTTCCACACCCCCAGGGAACCATTTCTCCTATTACTTTTCCTGAAGGGTTATCTATCTTGGCTTTCATGTACCAGGCGATCGTAAATATACAAATGAACATACGAAGTCTAACATGATTAATGAGGTAAAACAAGTAAAACCCATAATAGTAAGGGGAGGAAATATTAACGAACTCGAGGATAGTTATTTGGTTCACCAGTGCTATACTGCACCCTGGATTTTTCATCCTTTCTGTGTGGCCCTTCTGAGAGGGACTGTCCAGTTATCTTACAGGGAGGCTTGGGGTCTTCACGAGGTTGTTGAGTCGTATAATTCATTATTCATTATTCATGAAAGGAATCAGCTAAGCATGGCCAGCTTGTTTTACTTGTTAAAAAAAACATGTTGCAGATACTCTGGCCCAGAGTTTCTTATGGAAACTTAGGGAATGAGTGTAACAAACTAGAACAATTAAAGGAAAAGTTAAGATTTTTGAGGACTATGTCTATGATGCCAGATACTGTGAGCAGAGCAGACCCTGCCCTGTGATCTAGTGAAAGGCAAGTGGCCAGGGAAGACGAAGAGAGAATGAAAATCCCAGAAGGACAGCAAGAGAACAAGGTGTTGGGGATAGACTTTACTCTCAACTAAAGAGCCCTAGTGGCATAGTGGTGGCATGGCTGCAAGGTCAGCAGTTTGAGTCTACCAGCCACTCCAGGGGAGAAACATGAGGCATTTTTCTCCCTGAAAGACTGACAGCCCCCCCCACTATCATGATCCGAACTCTACCTTGCAAGTCTGGCTAGACCAGAGTGTGTACACTGGTACAGATAGGAACTGGAAACACAGGGAATCCAGGGCGGATGATCCCTTCAGGACCAGTGGTGTGAGTGGTGTGAGTGGCGATACTGGGAGCGTAGAGGGGGAACCGATTGCAAGGATCTACATGTGACCTCCTTTCTGGGGGACGGACAACAGAAAAGTGGGTGAAGGCAGACGTCGGACAGGGCAAGATATGACAAAATAATAATTTATAAATTATCAAGGGTTCATGAGGGAGGGGGGAGCGGGGAGGGAGGGGGAAAATGAGGACCTGATGCCAGGGGCTTAAGTGGAGAGCAAATGTTTAGAGAATGAGGAGGGCAATGAATGTACAAATGTGGTTTACACAATTAATGTATGTATGGATTGTGATGAGAGTTGCATAAGCCCCTAATAAAATGATTTTAAGAAAAAGACTGACAGCCTCAGAAACCTTCTAGGGAACAGGTCTACTCTGCCCCGTAGGGTCACTGTGAGTTGGAGTTGACTCAGTGGCAATATGGGTTTGGTTCGTTTTGGTTTTGTTTTGACTCTTTACTATGTTTCTTATTCCCTGGGTGGCCTGGTCTGTGCCTCGCTTTCCCCATCACATCAGTACTAATGAGATAGAAATGAGATAACATGCTAGGTCTGTACGAAGGCCAGGGTTTGTTCCAGTATTGGTAGTCATTTTACTAAAGTATCTGTGTAGTGGAGGTTCTTTTGCCAGATTCCTCTCTCAAACACATCCTGATAGCTGCCCCCAAAAGAAGACAGAGGACATTTCCCCAAGCTCTAGATTCTTGGTCCCCTCGTTGGCCTTCAGTGTGAGCCCTGGGTGAGTTTCCTGGTCCTTTTCCTTTCCTCTGTTTAAGCAGGACAAGCCCCTGGGGTTTCCATGAGCAGCCAGTTTAGATTGCATTGTATTATCATTTTATGAACTGAGTGTTCAGGAGCCAGAGGAGTTGAATACCTTGAAGTGAATTAAGATTCTCCTAGGATAAGATGGCAACCAGCAGAGGGAGAAGGCGGCCATGCTTTTCTGACAATGCCAATCATGTGATTTATAAACAGGGCATGTGTAATATCTAAACTGCTGCAGTACAATATTTCTGAAATGCTTCTATCCAGAATATTTTTACGTATACTGTTTTCTTTGACGGAGATAGCCTCCAAGGTTCTTCATTCTTTTTTAAACAAGCCTTATTGAAATTCTAATTCACATTCCACAAAACACCACCTTCTAAAGTTACAATCGTATAATTCAGTGGCAGAGTTGACCAACTGTTACCATTCCCTAATTTTAGACATTTCTCCCCCACACACCCCAAAATAATAAACTATATCCCCATTAGCAGTCACACCCCAGTTCCACTGACCCTGAGCCCTTGGCAATCACTAATCTACTCTCATTCTCTACGGATTTGCTCTGGACATCTTATATAAATGGAATCATCGATGTGTGGTCTTTTGTGTCTGGCTTCTTCCACTTAACAAGACCCATCCATGTGGGAGCGTGCGTCAGTCCTTCCTTCCCTTTCATGGCTGAAGAATATTACGTGGTGTAGCTATACCACGTCTTGTTTACCCATGCATCAGTGAATGGACACAGGTTCTTTCTACTTTCCCCTATTGTGACTGCTGCTGATTGTGGGAAGATTTATGCACAAGTTGTGTGGTCAAGGCAGTTGCAGCTCTACAATAGGAAATCGGCACATGTAAGCAATGAGTTCTGGATCCTCATTATGATGAAGTAGGGATAGATATTCTTGCTTTGTGAGTAGGGAACTTCAAGCAACAGAAAGATATGTGACTTGATTACGCATCTTCCAGTTCAAAACCGATTTGAGGTTCTGTGCCTCCATTTTAAATTCTGAGATCGTAATTAAGATCACAGGCCCCACAGCCAGATGGCCCTGAGATCAAACACCTACTCTGCCTTTTACTAACTGGGCAGACCTGGGGAAGTCACCGTACCTTTTTAAGTCTCTGCTTCCTCCTCTGTGTAATGGAAACAAGCCTGTTGCTACTATTTCTTGGAAACACTGTGAGGACTAAACGCAGTAGTACATGTGCAGCTCTCAACCACGAAGTCTGGCAAACAGTACATGCTTAATAAGTGCTCATAATGCTCATTTCATCATCTTACAGGCGTGATTGCTACATCTAGTCCAGCATTGGTCCTGTAGTGAGGTGGGAGAAGAATCAGAAGTAATATTTTAGGTGTTAGGTGCCTTCAAGTAGATTTCAACTCATAGCAACTTGCAAGGAAAAAAAATTATTTTATTCCAGAAAGTCATGTGAGGTTTGCATTCTTATCCACAACAGAGCAGACTGTCTGAACGGATCAATCTGTGAAAATATTTACTAGTTAAATGTATATTTGCAAATGTCTGTGTTTTACCATTCCTATGTAAAACTGGCCCTTCTAGGAATTGGGTCAGGTTTATTTGATGGCACCTAAGAGTCCCTGGAATACTGCTGTACATTCCCTGGGATACCTTTATTCCAGGGAATCTGTTCATTCCTGCAAGATGCCCTCTAAATGTTCTAGCTCCAA